TACCCATTGGCCTTGGTGACATCGTGACATTCCCCTGAGTTTGGTTAATGAAAGCAAACAAACAAATAAAAAGAGGGATTTAAGGACAGCATAAAACAAAGGGAAAACATGTGGTTGCATCTTTTGTATTTCCTGGTAAAACTGCTAATGGCACTAAGAAGCCAATGTTTGTACCATTCTACTTTAACCACGTGTCTCCGACATGATTCCCTTTACTCCTGAGGTTAAGGCACACCGGGTTGAACAAGGTGAAAGGTCTGACATGCGTCATGGAATGCACAGGCTCCAAGCGCATCTATATGAAGAGCAGCCAGCAGGGAAGAAGCAAAGGGATCCAGATTTAGTTGAAGGGTCCTGCAGGCTTCAAGTGGTTCAGATAGACTAGACTAGAAGCAGGAGACAGTACTATAAGGCACTCCTACAGGGACAAGAGACACAAGGGAAGGCCAACATGGAGGAGCCACAGGCCCCACTTGTCCACTAGCTGGTTTATTAGCCGTGAGGCCTGCCTCTGGGCTGGGGCTCAGAACTAGGGGCAAGGGAGATCCAGGGAAAAGAAAGAGGCTGGTTTGCAGCTTCACAGCCAATAGGAGGGAACTCTCCTAAGAGTTAGAAGTTGCTATGAGTTGCTGTAGGTGCCTGAATCTTCTACCCTGGGCAACAACTGGCTTCATTCAAGAGCTTTCTAACAAGACGAGCAGCTAGTGGCTTCTCTTTTCACAAGGAGAATACAAAGCAAAATAGCAATTGTCTCACTTGAGTCTAGCAATGCCTTCTGTCACATCAGCAGCCCTTTACCAGGACAATACCACATAACGTGATCATTTGGAACCTACTTTTTTTTTTTTTTTTTTTTTTTCCTGAGAAGGAGTCTTGCTTTGTTGCCCAGGCTGGAGTGCAGTGGTATGATCTCAGCTCACTACAACCTCTGCCTCCTGGGTTCAAGTGATTCTCCTGCCTCAGTCTCCCAAGTAGCTGAGATTACAGGCATGCACCACAACATTTGGCTAATTTTTACATTTTCAGTAGAGATGAGATTTCACCATGTTGGCCAGGCTGGTCTCAAACTCCTGACTTCAAGTGATCCACCCACCTTGGCTTCCCAAAGTGCTGGGATTACATGTGTGAGGCACTAAGCTTGGCCTAATCTTTGTGTTTTTGCCATGTTTGTCAGGCTGGTCTCAAACTCCTGACCTCAAGTGATCCACCCACCTCAGCCTCCCAAAGTGCTGGAATTACAGGCCTGAGCCACCAAGCCCGGCCGACTGGAACCCACTTTAAATAAAACTGACAACCACCGGCATGCCTAAGAGGGTATCCCATACTTTTTTACCTAGAGTTTAACAATGAATTGGATTTTACCTTAGCCATGCACCCATTAAAATACACTAAGGAAAGACCCTTGATTTAGAGATTTTTGAATCCGATGAAATCAGAATCGTTTACCAATAAGGAGACTGCTGGGTGCTAGACTTAACTGTCAAAACACCATTCCACATGGTAGAAATCAACACTTGTCTGTTTACATTAACTGAGCAGAGCTTATTCACCGGTCACTGGATTCGACCTTGAGCAGTTAGTTCTACTTGACTCAGGGTCGGAAGAGTCGCACAGGGTGTGCAACATATGAAGCGCCTAATGCCCGTCCTAACAAGTGACTCGGACGCAAGGGAGACTGGAGAGTGCCACTACAGATTCAGTTCATCCTGGGAAGGAGGGTCTCTCAGTGTTGCTCCAGTGTCTCCATATTGTCATGTTATTTCAGAGTAAGAAAAGAAGTAGGGCAGAAAACTCAAGAAATCAAATGGGCAAAAATTATACACATCTCTATTTACTAGGGGAAGTTAAAAAATAAAATAACCCCTGTGTTGAAACCAGGCAGTGTTGGAATCAGGAGGCGAAGACTTGCTTCATAATCTAGTGATTTCAAGAGAGTGTGTCAGATCAACGGAGATGAATAATTCTGCACAAACACATGAGTGACAGCATTGGCTTGACTCTACAGGAGGAGCAGCATGCACCTTTACTTCCTCTGATCACGCCCCTCTGCAGAAAGTGTTTAGTGTGCCTGGCATCGTGCTAGTCCCACCTGGATATATTAATTTGTGGATGGCCTTTTTGGCCAATGGGTAGAGAACAAACTCCCAGGTTTGGAAGCCAAGCCTCTTTGAGGAGGCATCGAAAATAGTCCACGTTCAGTGTGTACACACGACACACAGAGACAAAAACAGAGGCCAGCCTCCGTCAAAGGACGTACTCTAGCTTAGCAAAGGCTGCATTCAGCAACTAGGGTGATGTAAACACCTCGGATCTCACTGCAGCAGGAAGGAAGTCACGGCACAGTCCCTCTTCAGGAGTCTGAAGGATACCACTGTGTTGCAAACCACAGATCCCAAGTATTAGACGTACTGTATTCCCTTCTTGGTGGAGGACTACTCTAGAAGAATCAGACAGCGATGACCCTCTCAGCGAATCCAGTGTGAAAGCTCCTAACTAGATGACCCTTTAGCACTACAGATGTAAAAATGACTATGATGCAGTCCCTATAAAAGGCAGTGAGGCAACGGGGGCCACTGAGAGTTTACATGGTTTTCATATAAAGAGGCTTTTAGCTTTGCAAAGAGTGGCCCTGGAAAGAACACTACTCCGATTCCAGTTCACTGCTTTTTAAGTACTTTGTGGCCTTCCTGCAGTGGTGCAAAATGAGGTCTATTTTCGGAACTGGCTGCTTTACTGCGGGGTTAGATGCCAACATTTCACCAGGGTTGGACGATCTCACACATGAGTTTCTGGCACTTTTAGGAGGGATTTCCTCAAGTGAGACACCAGGGACTGGGCCTTTCAGCAAAAAGCGGTTCCCCGGAGTCAGTTGCCAACTCCAGGAGATTAATTGGCCATTTTTTTCATATGTTTCACGTCCAAGATATTTAAGATGAGATGAAAAATGTAACACGAGGAAAAGCAGATATTAGTTTGGTCTGAAAGGGGAGGTAATCCACAGATTTGCTTTTGTTTCAACAGTTTCTAAGCAGTGGAACCATTACCTAACAGGGCACCAAGTAATTTGTTAGAGTTGAAAACAGAAGGGGCGTTCATGTGCACCAAGGCATTCTGGGCTGAAAACAGCAATTCTGAATTTTCATGGCAGACCCAGCTCCCAAGCTGGCTCCACTCTGACCCATCAGATTCGGGTGGTGGTGGCAGAGAATGTCATAGGCTCGCGGCCAGCACCGACCAAGCTGTCAGGGTTTTACGATACAGAGAGGAAACAGAAGTAGCCGGCCATGGATCCAGCTCTGGGTAGCTGATGGTGATAACACATTGATTTTTGTTTTCCTTTTGAAAATAAGCAGAAAATGATGTGGGTGGAAAGTCCTCCTTAGGAGTTCACAGGGACTGCTCATATTTAGCAGGGCCCTCTAAATATGGTGAAAACAAAGACGTTTTGAACAGGGATCCAGAATTTCACCCTTGACTCTCGGCAGGTAGCCCCTGGGTGCCTGTGAGTTGGAAGAGGAAATTCTGTGCGTAGGACAAACATGTTAGAAGGGGAGGAGATGGCCCTGCACTTCAGGTCTCCAAATGCAGTGTGCTGGGAATGGCCTGGCTGACAGTTGGAATCACGGATACATTAATTACAGTGAAGGCAAAAGTAAGCTACAGTGACAGGGAGCTGGGGGCGGAGGGAGAAGGCACTTTGCCATGGGAGCACATCTGTTTTATAATAAGCAGGTCTATAATTCTCTTGTGAAAGATCATGTTCTGCTATCTTCTCTGAGGCTGGAAAATATAAATACTGTATTTTACCAAGGGGAGGAGGAAAGGAGATGATCAAATTTGTTTGCTTGCTTGCCAAGTGTCTGAGATTTTCCACCTTTTTCTTTTGTGTCCAACATTCTCTACTTTAAGTAGAGTGGGGGAAACGTCAACCTGCTTTTCTAAGGGTAAAAGGCACCATGAGGCATCTCATGAATAGGGCCCTGGCCTTTTAACAAGTTTTCAAGCCTTGGTTGTGGCTACTGTATAGTCAGAAAAGAAACGCATGCGTGGTGCTGAGCTGTGAGGGTGAAATGTGTGGTCTGGGGCCAAAGGAACTGGCGCGGTCGAGAGGGAAAATGCTTACATTTAACTGCACCAGAGTCAGTCTGAACATCTCTAGATGGACAAAGTATTGTACATTGGGATCTCAGGGGAGAGGAGCGTGGGAGAAAGGAGCAATGTGGTTGAATGCACCAAGTATTTTGTGCGCCACTAATCCTAATAGCTGCAAAACGACTAAACCACGAAGGCATAGAAGGCATCCCTCAGTGCGAAAGATACAGACCCTTCTCATAAAGTCTACTGAGAACGGTTTTATTATAAACGTATTTTCCTGCTCTAGAGATAGTGAAGGTGAAAGAATGGGAGCTGCCAGGGTCCCAGGGCTGTCCTACCTGCCATTTCGGTCACAGTGACTGCCACGTGCTCTTCAAAGGGCACTGCAGCGGGGGAACGCTACCTGCCGAATAGCAAAGCAGTTCTTTCTGACTCCTATGAGTTATTTTAGCATTCTGTTTTACTTCAAGGTGGCAATTATATATATATTTATATATATATATAATTTAAATAATATTAGATGTAATTCATTAATTATACTTGTAAGTTTGGTATTTTCTTAATAGTCCGAAGTTGGTATTTTGAAGTTCCACATTACTCTGATTTTTTTTTTTTGTATATTTTTTTTGACCTGGAGTTTGGATCTTGTTGCCCAGGCTGGGATGCGATGGTGCGATCTTGGCTCACTGCAGCCTCCCTCTCCTGGGTTCAAGTGATTCTCCTGTCTCAGTCTCCTGAGTAGCTGGGATTACAGGTGCCTGCCACCACACCTGGCTAATATTTTGTATTTTTAGTAGAGATGGGGTTTCACCATGCTGGCCAGGGTAGTTAAGAACTCCTGACTTCAGGTGATCTACCCACCTAGGCCTCCCAAGGTGCTGGGATTACAGGCCACTGCGCCCAGCCTACTCTGATTTTTTAAACAAAAAAATGAGAAAGCAAGAATGGTTACATTGACAAACGTCGAAATGAAAGTGCAGGAAGAACAATGAGACATAAAGCATTTAAAATGAATAGATAGGCAGTGCCTACACAGGATTCTGAGAAAAGAAACTGAAACGACCTTCTCTTTGAATATACGTACCATATAACATACCACATACCCTTATCTACCAGTCTATACGCTGATGTCTTTAACGACAATCCCAGGACATTTCCTCCGGCCAGCAGCATGAAAAACATCATAAATATCACTTATGGGCACCCGCTGAAAACCGTTTTTAAGAAAGCCATGTGGACAGCCTGATAAACATGGTGGAGCGCCACATCGTTAGGCGGGTGTTCGGATTCGTACCAGGAAACAGACCGACAACATGCAGTTATTGGTCGCAGAGGTTTCTTCTTTTCTCAGGAAAAAAAAACCTTCTGAGATTAACTTCAAAACCAGAACCAGCTCTCCTCATAAATCAGGGGTGTATGCTTTCTGTCAGAGGGAGCTTGGCTCCTGTTTCAGCCATTCGGCTCTGCTTGGGTGATTCCCGCCTCTATGGGAAGAATTGAGGCGGGAGAGCCGGGGACACTAGGTCCTGGAAGGACCCAGGAGTCTCTTGCGTTTTGAAGGTTTTCTTATGAAACAGATGATGAGTGCCTGCCTCAGTTACCTCAGCCTCTGTGGAGGCTAAAAATAAATAGCACAAAAATAACCTAAAGCGCCGTTTTCTGCAGGAAATGCTTCCTCTTGCGTCTCGGATAATAAAATGTCCCGAGAGACAGAAAAAGAAAAGTCGGAACTATAAAGCATTGTGTATACCACATTTTGTCTGGGAGCAAGCAGCTGAAATTCTTGGCTAAGTGTAATCCAGCTATTGGTAGTTTCTTGAGCCACAGATGTTCTGTGGATCTTTTAGACAATGAGGTACACAGAGCATAAGTATGGGACGTATAGGTATTTGTGTTTATATAAATAAATATATATATCTATATCTAGCTGAAGAGGAGACATACTCTTCTTCCAAAGGGGTCTAACTGGCCAGTAGGAAGCCGCTCTGGGGCTGATGGATTGTTGATCGGTGAATCCCGGGCCTTGGGTCGGCCTGAGTCAGGTGTTCTGGTAGGACAGCTCAAACATGGTGCAAGCCTCCTCTAGACTCTCGTCCACGTTCAGTCTCTGCCAGAAAGACTTCTGCTTCTTCTGCAGCTCTCGGCGAACACACCTCGGGCAGGGGACAGACTTTTCTTTGCATTCAGAATGGAAAACGGCCCCACAGCTTTCACACCTGCAAAAGTCAACCATGGATATCATGAGCAAGACAGAAGCCAGCAAGACACCAATGGAAGCCCCATGGCCTCAGGTGCAGCTGGTGGCACAATCTACTGCTCTGGACAAACCTGCCAATGGGAAGAGAAATGACTCACTGAAATGAACTGTTTGCTTTTCCAAAATGCTCAAGGTGGAATTTCACTAGAAAAACATTTTTGCTTTTCTGATCTGAACTAGCTTAGGGCTTATGAATGGGGAGAAGTCAGCAGTCACCCAGCAATTCTGGTTATAGTGACAATGGACAGAGCACCAGAAGCTCTCCATGGAGAAGGGAGTGTGGGCAATGACAGAAAATGAGGGGGAAGTGTCTCGTGAAAACGCTCGGCATACCAGTGACAGCCACAGCATTACGTCTGTGGCAAGGTAGCTTTCTACATCAGCTAACATGAGCTAAGTGGTTCTCTGTTAACTAGCTGCCTTTTTTGACAGGTTGAAAAGATAAAAGGACACATTTTCATTTTCTGGATGACATCCTGTGGTCTAATAAGTCTTGTGAATTTTTTAAAAATTAGGAAAAAACTCCTACCTTTGTAAATCTACCTTTATAACATGAGCATGAACATTAAAGCAGGAGAGAGTAGGAAGAAAACATTTTTCCAACACTATGACAGATATTGTAATTTGTAGCGAGGAAATACTCCAGGTGGATGACTACTTTGTTGTTTGGCTTGGTGGAAGCCTGCACAAGAGTCTGAATAACTGGTTTTTACAGCAAAGTTTTTATTTATTTCTTTATTTTGGAGACAGGGTCTCACCCTGTCACCCAGGCTGGAGTGCAGTGGTGTGACCTCAGCTCACTGTACCCTCTGCCTCCTGGGCTCAAGTGATCCTCCCACCTCAGCCTCCTGAGTAGTTGGGACTACAGGCACCCACCACCACACCTGGCTACTTTTTGCATTTTTTGTAGAGAGAGGGCTTTGCCACGTTGACCAGGCTGGTCTGGAACTCCTGACTTCAGGTGATCCACCTGCCTTGGCCTCCCAAAGTGCTAGGATTACAGGCGTGAGCTACTGCATTTGGTCTGCAAAGTTTTTAATAATGAGTAATTGACAAGCTCAAATACAGCTGCTCCAGGAAGTGGTTTGCAGATGTGGACTGAGTTTTCATCCTTCCACAAGGATAGGCAACTTGTACCAACTCCTAGGAGCCCAGGAATTGCACCTGTGTGATTTTGTTCCACCTGCAGCATTCAGGGAGGGTCCAGAACTGCACTGGGTTCCAAGAAGGCTATGAAGGAACCCAACCTGAGGGCTCAGCCTCAGGCCTCTTGTGCTTTTCCCGAAACGTCTTGAGTTTCAGTGCTGGGTGCAGGATGGTCTTGGGGTCACTATCTCCTCATCTGCCACAGGCTTACCCCCAGCTCCATTCAGGACCCAGAGGGCTTAGTGAAAGAAAGATCTTCCTACCCACCCTCATAACTTGGAGAGGAGGCCGTGACTTGCTACAGGAAGACAGGACTTCCCGCACCCAGCAGCTCCACCTCCAGCTCAGCTCTCTGTGCCAAGTAAAATGAAGAGGTGGTGAGACAAGCTGGCAAGGAGCTTCACATCAATTCCTGGCTGTGTGACTGCTATGAACTGAACAGTGTCTCCCCGTTATTCATATGTTGAACCCCTTACCCACAATGTGACTATATTTGGAGACACTATGCTTAGGAGGTAATCAAGATTAAATGAAGTGGATAGGTGTGGTGACTCACACCTGTAATCTGAGCACTTTGGGAGGCTCAGGTGGGCAGATCACCTGAGGTCAGGAGTTTGAGACCAGCTTGGCCAACATGGTGAAGCACCGACTCTACTGAAAATACAAAATTAGCAGAGTGTGGTGATGTACGCCTGTGATCCCAGCTACTCGGGAGGCTGAGGCAGGAGACTCACTTGAATCTGGGAGGCAGAGGTTTGCAGTGATCTGAGATCATGCCACTGCACTCAGCCTGGGCAACAAGAGCAAAACCCTGTCTCAAAAAAAAAAAAAAAAAAAAAAGATTAAATGAGGTCATGAGGGTAAGACCGTGATCCAAGAGCATAAGTGTCCTTAGAAGAACAGCACGACCCCAAAGGCCTCAGAGGCAGCGCCATGTGAGGACACACAGAGACGGGGTCCTCTGCAAGCCAGGGAGAGAGGCCTCGCCAGAAGCCAACCCTGCTAACACCCTAATCTGAAACTTTCAGCCTCCAAAACTGGGGACAGCACATTTCTCTTGTCCAAGCCACCCAGTCTGTGGTATTCTGTGTGACACTCTGAGTAGACAATGACCTGAAGCAAGTCATGTCATCGTTCTGAGTTTTCTGCGCTTCAGTGTCCTTATCAGCTAGATGGAGACTACATAGCACCCACCTCCTAGGGTGCTTCGGACTCTGGTAACATGATGGATGCAGTGTTTTCACAGTTCTTGGCTGTGGTGGGAAGTGCTTAGCAAACTGCAAGGGGGCAGCCACGGTGCCCCTCAGACTGCCTGTCATGTCACTATGGAGACCCGAGGACATCTCAGTCAACCTCCTCCTTGCCTAGATGAGAAAACAGAGACTCCAAGAGGGCTAGCGATTGCCTACCGGGGACGCAGTGAGTTGGAGACAGAGTCGTGACTGAAACCTGGGGTTGCTGGCAGCCCAGCCAAGGCTCTTACCGAGCGCCACACTGCCGGGCCGAGGCCTGGCCATCCTAAGCGAGAGCAGGGTGCCATCACATAGGGGAACACAGGGCTTCCAATCAGAACACCTACGCCGAACCACAAACCCTTCTTTGTAGCTGAGTGACCTTGGGCAAGTTATTACTTAAGTTCTTGGTGCTTTGGTTTTCTTATTTGCAAAATGCTGCTTACTGGGTTGCTGTAAGACTAACATGAGAAACATACTTGTAAGTGGAAGAACTATGCAAAGGGTATGACAGTGCCCCCCACAGGTGACTCTAGCACCTGTCTCCTTGACACAGGTGCTATCCTGGACAAAGCAGGATCACCTCTAGCATCTTCCTCTTCCCAGTCCCCTCCTCCTTCCAGTGAGGGTAAAGGTCAGACCCATGTCTTCTAGAGCCTCTCTCATCCAGGCCAGCTCCTTCCTAGTGGTAATGGCTTTGTCCCCACTGGTCACACCTCTGTAACCTTCTATCACAAAAGTGACACTAATGGTAGCTTTATCAAATAAATTTCCTCCTTCCTGCCTCCTTTCGCCTGCTGGGTTAGTCAGTGATTTATACACCTAGGGATGTTGCCCCAGGGCAGTGATTGATAAGGAGGAAAAACCCTGGGTTCCTTCAGTACCACTCCCTTATCTCTGCTGATACCAGGCTCCAGCAAGTGAAGAGATTGAGTCTTATCGGATATTTCTGGTGCAACAAACATCCATGGGGTGATGGAAGAACTGAGTGCACCTGCTCTTTCTAGCCAAAGGTCAGTAACTGAAAAAAAAAAAAAAAAAAAAAAAAAAAAGCATGAGATAAAAAAAAATTAATGATTTCAAAATAGAACCAAGTCCTATTTTCTAACAATTTGTAACCCAGCAGGTATCTTTTAAACTGTAGTATGGATAGATTGATCAATGACCTTTCCAAATTCAGAGAATCTATAGTTAATGCCTCCCCCTCCCCTTTTCTCTTTAAAGGAAAAGAATCAAGGAAGGAAAAAAAAAAAGGAGAAAGGGAAATTGTTCTCTTACATAAAATTTATGGAGCCCTGTAATAAAAATGTAAAGTTCAGGATAAATATTTACATTAAAAAATGCAATATATGGGTGTGTTTCTCTTTGAGAGTAGGATTTTATTTTTTCACTTTAAAAGAATCCATTGGCCCCTGAGTGCTCACTGAGTTTCTTGACTATATTTAAAATATGATTTAACAAATACAACTTTTCAGGAACACGTCTTTCATATAAGGCAAATCTATCAAAGTAATCATCTCTGCTGAAAATTGCAACGGGTAATGAAAGAGAGCTGTCTCTTTGGTGTTCCTGTGTGATACATCAAATGAAAGCTGGTGTCTTCATTTCTGAGTCATCCAGGCCAGTGATAAGCAGTTCCACTGTTAGGGATGTTGCTGTACATCACAGAAAACAAAGGCTGACGTCCTCACTTTGCAGTGTCATGGAGAATGCAACGTCAGGGAAACATTGTTATTGACCAAAGTCATCCAGTGGGTTTTTCCATTTCTTTCTTGAAAACATTAATTGCTTCATTTTTTCTCACACATAAGGATCTTAACCTTGGCAATACTGACATTTTGGGTGATAAGTCTTTGATGCGAGGGGCTGTCTTGTGCATCATAGGACATGCACCAGCATCCCTGGCCTCTATCTAGATGCTAGTAGCCACATCATCCCCTCCTACCAGTTGTGACAACCAGCAGTATCTCCAAACACTGCCAAACGCCTCTGGGGGAACAAAATCATCCCTTTTGAGAGCTAGTGACCTAATCTACTAGAAAATGCATCACAGAGAGAGTACCCAGTTATGCTTACATAGCACCCCACACTGAATTTGCAAGTGTCACCTCCTGGCTTACATTCTGACCAACCAATAAGGTCCAGTGTAGTGTACTTATTCATTTAACTTGCACAATAACATATTTTAAACATATCATTTGATTAAAATAGTTGAAACACCATATATATACACACACATGTATATATATCATATATTACTATCTGGAAGTGTATCTATTATATATATATTACTATCTGGATAGTGTATATATTAGATATTACTATCTGGAAGTGTGTTTGTGTTTTAACTATTGGGACAGCTACACTGCAGTTAACTGGGTGTATGTCAACACTGGTTACACCACAAGACATGGGACCAGGAAGTGGGGACTGGAGTTCGGCTTTGTGGGTGCTCTCGGGGCACTCCTAATTATTTATGTGTGCCCTGATGAACAAGGTCCCTCCTCCTTGAGATAGGAGCAGGAGAACATCTTCCCCATCTTGGGGCCGTATAAATCTCACTTTGAATTTTAATAAATGC